CACAAGCTGCAAGGGTTGATTCAAGACCTAAAACCTTTCTCGGGGAGAAAGCAAAACACAGAGGTTTTGCTGTGTATCCTGTTTTCAGTCCCTCTGACTAATTAAAGTATGTGCTGATTTCCAGCCCATAGTTTCAATCGACCGAGGGGGATTTTCAAAGGCCTTGCTATGCCACTGGCAAAACACCCTTCCAAAGAGGGAAGAACATTCCCCGGACTTGCAGGGACCTGCTGGAGGGATGCAGAGAGCTCTGTTCGGCACCAAATGCCAATCGCTGGCTGAGCCCCAGGGATGGGGGCCAGGGCTGTTCCTCAGCCCCTGCAAGTCTGCCCCACCCTTCCTGCCTCACCCCTAGGAAGCTGCAAATAAAAGTGCCTGCTTGCAGGGCCCCTCCAGAGAGCTCAGGCCCCTTGCCTTCCTGGCCTGTAGGCAGTCTCCCTGCACCTACAGGGAAACTTGTACAGCAAGAGGTCTAGGAGCTCAGAATAATTCAAGGCCCGGGTTTGAACCAAGACAGGATGCAGTGTGGGGCTAGGAACCGTTGCATGTACACCGTGACCCATCATTTTCCTAAAGCCCTCACCCAAGAAGAGTCACCCTCAGGGGATCAGGGCTTCCTTGTGACCCCAGTAAGGACTGCAGGAGAATGCTCCTAGAGCCTGCCCGAGCCAGCGCAGAGTGATGGCCCTACTTCTGCATGTTTGCATTTCTCTCTGGGCCAGTTTTCAGACTTGGGGTCGGAAGGTTTGAGAGAGGCTGGTGTGGTTCCCAGCCAGAAGGGACTGTCTGGGGGAGGGGGACGGCTCCAGTTTCCCAGGCCCCCCAAGGGAGCAGTCTCTTGTGTGTCCCTGTGAGTCTGGCAGAGAACACATCGAGACCCTGAGGTGGGGTGGAGCAGGATTCCCGATGGTTTTGGGTGGAGGCTGGAAAATTCCTCCCTGAGGCCAGGGCTTTGTGAGGAGTTGTCTGGGGCTGGCTCGGTGCTCCATCTGCCCGTCCCCATCCTGCTGCATCTGGTCCCCCGGCTGGCTCCCAGATGGGGTTGCCAGCCATGGCCCAATGAATAGCGTGACTCATGCCTCAACTATTGCCTTTCCTGCTTTCTCTCCTGGAGGAGGGCTGCTGGGTGGGGGGCTCAGCAGGGCCCGAGCACCGCTGTGGTTGTTTCTGCAGGTACCAGAAAATGCCCACAGTAACTAGTGGGCTGGGTTGCAGGGGACTGGAGCCCTGTGAGGACCAGGGGAGCAGAGAGGAGGCTGGGACGAGTCATGAGCTTGGTTCGCAGAGTATCCAGGCTGCAGGGAGGAAGGGCTTGCCCCTGGAGGCACCCAGAAAGGCAGGGACAGATGGGCCTCTGGGCTTCAGCATGAGGCCCTCACACAAAGATCTGGGGAGAAGGGAGGGATGTGCCTTTCTTTCTGTCTGTTCAATTCAAAAAGGATGTGGTGGTGCCCCGGTGGCATCAGGCTGTAACCCCGAGGTCAGCAGTTTGAAACCACCAGCTGCGCCTCAGGAGAAAGACGAGGCTTTCTACACCATCAATGAGTTACAGTCTTGACAACCCGCAGGGGCAGATCTACCCTGTCCTGTAGGGTCACCATGAATCGGAATGGACTCATTGGCAACGAGTCTGGAGCTTCTGTTCTGCACCCCCCAGGGTGCCAGGCTGAGGGCCAGTGTGGGATTGCCAAAGGGAGCGGACCTCAAAGATACCTGAGGTATTGTGAGGCCGAGGGAGCGTGTGCAACCTGGACCTGCTTCCTCCTGCAGATGAGAGCCAGAGCTTGGGGTGAGAGCCCTGGGGTGGATCTTGAAGGACTTGTCGGACGCCTAGGACCATATTACTCCCATATCACTCCGAGCCAGCGCAGTGATGGCCCTACTTCTGCATGTTTGCATTTCTCTCTGGGCCAGTTTTCAGACTTGGGGTCGGAAGGTTCCAGAGAACTTTCATATTACGCCTTCTCTGGTGTCTCAGTGCTTCCCCACTCACACAGTGCTCTTCCCTCTCTGATCGCCCCCGCTGCTCTGATGGGGAGCCCAGCAGGGTGAGCCTCTAGGGACCAGAGTCCTGCCCTCGTCTTTGCTGATGGAGAGACTGGGGAGGAACAAGTCTGAGCAGTGCCCCCCTTCCCCACCGGCCCCGTGGGGTCGTCAGCAGAACAGCTCCTGAGCTCAGTGTAATCCCTCGCTTCCCGTCGCAGTGAGATTCCAGGCTGGGGTGGGACTCTCCCACAAGGTGCTGGTGCCTGGATTGCTTTGGGGCTTGTCACCATTCTTGACACTGTCCAGGTCCGGCCTGGGGAGGGGCCAGGGGAGGATTCCCAGGAGGCTCTGACACAGGAGGTCCGCTTTCCCCGCAGTGAGGCACCCAGTCCTTCTCTGCCACAGTCCAGTCACTTGTCACCCACGCACCGATGGGCCCTGGTGCCTGAGTCTCCAGCTTGGCAAATCACATCTATGATCAGAGTGGTCAGATGCATTCCTGCTGTGTCCATGGCACCGTTGGGAAGAGGGTGGCTGGGGAGGAGAGAATGTCCCAGTGTATCCCGAGGGGTGGGGCTACCCCCCTCCCAAGGACAGTCGGGGCTGCACCCCGGATCCTGCATGTGTGTGTGTTGGGGGGGGGGTATACCCTGAGGGTGACCTTTTGGTGTTTGGTGGCCCCTGGCATTTTCTTCAAGTTTAGTCTCGTCTGCCAGGGCTGAGTGTTCTCTATTATGACTGAGGGGCTGCCGAGACCCTCACATCTGTTCCCCAGAGGACAACAAAGTGGGAGATGGGTGGGTTCTGTAAAATTCTCTGAGTCTGCAAAGTTTTCCAGGGAGGCAACCCAGAGCTCACTGCCCAAGCCCTGTGGCACCCACCCTAGCTGCTCAGCCTGCACTCACCCGTCAGCCGCTTCCTGGGCACCGCTCGCCACTGAGCCCCAGTAGAGCCCGCCGCGCCCTGAGTCCTTTTCCCACAGCCTGGGCTTCCTTGTGGCTGACCGCAGGCCCTGACTAGGATTCCTGGGACTGGGCTGGGCTCTCTAGAAGGAAGGGCCTCTGCTCCGAGGCTTAGTGCCCACTCTCACCCCTTTGAGGAGAGCCCCCAACAGCCCTCATTGTGGGGGCCAAACCCCGTCCTCTGCCTCAGTGTCCCTGTGCTGTTTTGGGTGAGGCAGAAGAGGTGCCCACCCCACCCCATTAGGTAGGTGGCCATGTTGCAGAGGTAACTGAGAGGAAGGCTGGAGGTTTGGGGCCACCCCGAGACCCCTGTGAAGGAAAGCGCAGTGGTGTGTTTCCAAAAGGTCGCCGGCACGGAAAGCCCCTCAGACCACAGCAGTGACCGCGCGGCGTCTCCAGGACTTGGCATCCGCCGAACGGCAGCTGGTTCTGTTTAAGACGAAAACCTTACAGCCGTCACAGCCATCCAGGCCCTTGGTGACGCTGCCGGACAGAGTGGAACTGGCCCCATTGGGTTTCTGAGGCTGGGACGGCCGGTGGCTTCAAACAACCAACCTCTGGGCTAGCAGCCCCAGGCTTAACCCACTGCTTCACCAGGGCTTCTTGGGTTAGGACAGATACTTGCGGAAATCTAATTAGAACTGGCTCTCTTCCCTCTGGGGCCACAACCCACCCCCAGTACCCCTACAGAGGGGCTCTCACGGGGGCCTGTGTCAATCCATTGGTCTAGATGTATGCCAACCACCTGGTCTCCCCCTGCCCCAGTTTTCTCTGCCTCATCTCTCTGGTGGGCCAAGCCCTGGACTGGACATCCATCTTCCCTCCTGTGGCCCTGAAGGAGGCCTCGGCTGGCATTTGCGGGAGAGGCAGCAGCAATTCCTCTGCTTGGAGCAGGCAGCCGGCCCGCCGTTAGGGCAGGTCGGCAGATTCTCAACACGTTCCTGATGAGATTAGAAGCTCCTGCAGGTACGTGTTTGCGGCCGCCCAGCTTGTATCAACAGATCTGATGATTCATCTCTTGCCTGGAAGAGTAGCTGAGGGCCTGCTGGGGCACAGCTGGGGGGGCTTTGGGGAGGAGCGAGCGGCTCCCCCTGGAAGGAGACATGCCTTTCAGTTGTGGCCCAGGAGCTTTCGTCAGGGGGAAAACCGAGCAAGGCTCCCGGGTTTTGCCGAGCCCCCTCCCCACCGCGGGGTCCTGCTGAAAAGCAAGAGAAACAGATAAGGGGCATGTAAAAAGCTGAATCCTGAGACTCCCAGGAGGGCTGCAGGGGCGGGGGTGGGGAGGGTGGGCGTGCCACAGGAAGGCAGGAGCTTGTCTGATCAGGACCTACCAGCCAACCTGCCCAGGAGCCGCTGGCTTAGCTTGCCTTCTCCCTGGACCCCCACCTCCACTCCGTACTCCCCACAGAGAAACAATGCTGTCACAAAGGGCTGAAGTCTGGTTTTCTGTCTGGCGCGGAGTCCAGGTAGTGGGCCATGGGTTTGCCTCTCCCAAAGCTGACGTCCCTACATGCAGCATCCTGCCTAGACAGGTTCCAGAAGACCCCTGCAAACAAGGGCCTCGTGGGGGACCCCACTGCTGTCCCACGGGCTGGAAGAGCGTGTTTGCTATAGTCTCTGGGCGCTGGTCCTGGGAGGCTCCCTCGGCACCCTGGCTGTGCCCCCTTGCTCCCAGGCGCCCCTCTGGGCCTGCTCACAGCCCCTAGCTCCTGCTGAAGAGCCCTGCTGGCAGGGCTGCAGACTTGGTGCCAATAGCTAAGCGCTGCAAGGCAAGGTTCTTGCTCGCCGAGATAGGCTGGCAAGAAAACGGTATCTGCACCCCACACCACTGTGCAGGTGCGGTGAGCTCACGGCTGCCCCCCAGGCATGCCCAGCCCACTTAATCATTCACATCTCGACAGCTCCGGGCCCTGCCCAGTTCTGCTGGGGATAAAAAGGGCCTGCCGTTCCCGTAACAGAGCCACCTCTGCCTCTTGCTGAACACTGCTCTTCTCTGCACCTTCTCAAGCCCCTCGGTGCCCAGCACTCTTGCTCCACCAGGAACAAGGCATCATGTCTCGTCAGTCAAGTGTGTCCTTCCGTAGCGGGGGAGGCCGGAGCTTCAGCGCTGCCTCGGCCGTCACTCCGTCTGTCTCACGCACCAGTTTCACCTCCGTGTCCCGTTCTGGGGGTGGTGGCGGCGGCTTTGGCAGGATCAGCCTTGGTGGGGGGGCCTGTGGAGCAGGTGGCTTTGGCAGCCGGAGCCTCTACAACGTGGGGAGCGGCAAGAGGCTCTCTACCACCAGCATCAGCAGCTTCAGGAACCGATATGTGCCCGGTGCTGGAGGCAGCTTTGGCTTCGGAGGAGCCTCCGGGAGTGGATTTGGTTTTGGCGGTGGAGCTGGTGGTGGCTTGGGGCTCGGTGGTGGAGCTGGCTTTGGAGGGGGCTTTGGTGGTGCTGGCTTCCCTGTCTGCCCTCCGGGAGGCATCCAAGAGGTCACCATCAACCAGAGCCTCCTGACTCCCCTCAACCTGCAAATCGACCCCACCATCCAGCGGGTGAAGACCGAGGAGCGGGAGCAGATCAAGACCCTCAACAACAAGTTCGCCTCCTTCATCGACAAGGTGAGACATGATCCCCAGGGTTGAAAGGAAATGAAAACCAAAACAACGCTCCCCCACCCCACCCATCGCCGCCCCCGGGAGTCTGCAGTCAATGCCCAAGACACTGAGGCTGAGACCAGGGAGCTAGGTTTGGCTTTAAGCAACAGCTCACAAAGTTTGGGTTGCTGGGTTTCCAATCATTTCTGGGACCTGCAGGGAGGTTCTAATTTCTTCCTAATGCAGGTATGACCACAGGCAGGCTCTTTGATGGCTGTTGAGCCGAAAGGTGCATCGCAGATGCCCTGCTAACGGTAGCAATTGCACAGCAAGGTCTATGAGATCGTTGGGCAGCAGCCGGAGCCCCTGTGTAATTGCCTCTGTGCTGGGTCACACTGTGGCCAGCCCCTGCTGGTGCCATCTGTACCCTAATGCATGCTCTGTCTCCCCTCGAAGGGCAAACAAGCTTAGACACCTCCCTCAGGACGCCCCCTGCTCGATCCTTTCCCCAAGCCCTCAAGGTCTAGGACCAGGCAGCATGGGGTGGGAAGGTAAGCTGGTTAGTGAACAATAAAATATGAAATTTAAGTTTATGCATCATTCAACTCTCTGCTCCCCTCCAGGTGCGGTTCCTGGAACAGCAGAACAAGGTCCTGGACACCAAGTGGACCCTGCTCCAGGAGCAGGGCACCAAGACCGTGAAGCAGAACCTGGAGCCCTTGTTTGAGCAGTACATCAACAACCTGAGGAGGCAGCTGGACAGTATCCTGGGGGAGAGAGGCCGCCTGGACTCCGAGCTGAGGAACATGCAGGACCTGGTGGAGGACTTCAAGAACAAGTGAGTTAGGGCAAGGTTGGAGGTGGGAGTGGGTGATGTCTTCTTGACATCAGATGGGCTTCATCCCCAGACAGATCTTATGCCCACAGGCTAGAAACAAACCAGTGGACGCTCAAAGTACTAGAAAATCATCCATTTTCAGGCACACTGCAGTCCCAAGGCCCCTCTACCAGGCACTTTGCCAACAGCCCAAACAACAGGCCACACCCTTGGCACCACCTGGTGAACTATGCAACCCGGGGGTCCTTGCTCTTTAGAACTTTGCTCCCCAGTACACAAAGTGCACAGCTTGGGCCGTTAGAAGACTTCCTCCCAAACATCAGTGCCCATTGCCCAGCCCAGCGTGGTGCCTCAAAGCATTTCTTTAGTTCTTGGGAACCAGTGGCTGGATTCCTTGGGGTTTGGGGTTTTGTTTCCATACTGCGAGAGCTTAAAAAAAAAAGTACCCAAGAAATGAACTAGAAGTGGAATTAGAGGAGAGTTTTTCCACAGGACAATTCTTTAAGGGGCTGAATTCTAACAACCATAGAGTGATTAGAAAAGGCAGGCACAAACAGAGAGAGCAGTGCCCTCGGGGAGAATGCCACTCAGAATGCCATCAGGCTCCTGCTACCTGTGCCTCTGTCTACCTGGCCACCTGTCTGCCTGTGAGGTGTAAGGAGCCCCTTCCCAGTGGAGAATCAGGTTCACACTTGACTTGGTTCCGTCAAAATCTCACCTGTGCCTCATTCTCTGATCTCATGCCTCTTCCTCTTCTTCTCTCGTCACCAGGTATGAAGATGAAATCAACAAGCGAACCACTGCTGAGAACGAGTTTGTGATGCTGAAGAAGGTGTGTGTGGGCAGGAGAGAGCCCGTAGCCTGTGGCTACTTTCTCTCAAGGGAGTGGCTCATTTAAGTCAGGGTGGCAATCTGGTCCAATGCCAACCATCCCTGCTTCTCTAGGACGTGGATGCTGCCTACATGAACAAGGTGGAACTAGAGGCCAAGGTCGATGCCTTGATGGATGAGATCAACTTCCTGAAGCTCTTCTTTGAAGCGGTGAGGAGTGTCCCCAATCCAGGGCCCAAAAGGATGGTCAAGGGAGACACCACCAGGGATGAGGGTCTCTGGGTGGTTGGGATTCTCCCAGGCATAGGTGATTTTCAGTGATTCCTAAACTGAAACACTGGGCACAACAGGGTCTTCCTTTGGATACTACCCTTCTCACACTGCTCTTCTGATACTGCTCTCCTGATACTATCCTTCTCAATACTACTCTCCTGATACTACCTTTCTAATGTGACTCTCCTGATACTACCCTTCTCAATCTCTCTCTCCTGATACTACCCTTCTAATG